GAGGTAAATCAGAATATAGACATAAAAACGATGCAGATAATGATGACAAACCAGTGTGGAGCATACAGGATCAAAACACAGATCATCTGGTGTTGAAAGCTACTGAATAGTAGTGAGTTTTTAAACGGGACTTGAAAACCGAGAGGGAGGGGCCTGTCTGACAAGCAGAGGTAACTCGTTCCAGAGTCTTGGTCCTGCTACAGAGAAGGTCCTGTCACCTCTGCGCTTAATACAAGTTCCTGGAACTGTGAGGAGCAACTGGTCTGCTGACCTCAGGGAACGTGGTGGGACATACGGTTGTAGCAGATCAGAGAGATGGGGGGGGGGGGGTGGCGACACTGTTCAGTGATTTGTAGACATACAGGAGTATTTTGAACTGGATTCGAAAGTGAACCGGTAACCAGTGCAGTGAGGCCAAAACTGGTGTAATGTGCTCTCTTTTGCCTGTACTGGTTAAAAATGGGGCTGCTGCATTCTGGACCAGTTGTAGTCGTGCAATGGAGGTCTGACTGATACCAAACAGGAGTGAATTGCAGTAATCAAGCCTAGATGTAATGAATGCATGTATTACTGTCTCCAGGTTCTTTTTGGACAATATGGGCTTCAGTTTAGACAGCCGCCTCAGTTGGAAGAAGCAGGATTTAACGATCATGTTTACATGATTGTTAAGTTTCAGGGAAGGGTCCATTATCACGCCCAGATTAGTGACTCTTTGTTTTTCTGACAGGGTTAGAGTGGAGAGGTCGATGCAGTGGTTTGTGATCGTGTCGTTGGGAGGGAACAACATGACTTCAGTCTTCTTTTCATTGAAACTTAAGAAGTTTAAAGCCATCCAGTCCCTGATGTCAGCCAGGCAGTTGAGCAGAGGTTGAATAGAGCATGTACCATTGTGTCTTAGGGGTAAGTAAATTTGACAGTCATCGGCATAGAAGTGGAAGGGCATGTTGTGTTTCCGGAAAATAGCACCAAGCGGCAGCAGGTATAAAGAGAATAGGAGGGGACCGGGATGGACCCCTGCGGAACCCCCGATTTAAGCTCTGCCTCTGCGGAACTAAAATCCTTGATGGAGACACAAAAGGATCTGTCAGTGAGGTAAGATCTGAACCAATTGAGGGCTGATCCTGTGACGCCCACCCACTGCTCCAACCTAGCAATGAGGATCTCATGGTCGATGGTGTCAAAGGCGGCTGTGAGGTCCAACAGGACAAGCAGCACAGAATCACCGGTATCTGTGAATCTGAAGATGTTGTTAAAGACCTTCAGCAGGGCAGTTTCAGTGCTGTGGAGAGGTTTAAAGCCAGATTGGAAAAGCTCTAAGATGGTGTGATCCTCCAGGAAGCACTTCAACTGGGACTCGACTATTTTCTCCAGTACTTTAGAAACAAATAGGAGTTTGGAGACAGGCCGGAAGTTGGAAACGACAGAGGGGTCAAGGTTTGGATTTTTCAGGAGAGGCTGGACGGCAGCAGTCTTCTGCCAGATGGTACCAACCTGAAAAAAATCTAACTTACTAATAACTTCACATAGTTCCTTCAGTGGATGTTTTCATGCTGCAGAGTGAAACAGGGCAAGAGCTCACAGTGAAATTCAGTTTGTAAGAGTAAATTTGAAATTACACAACCTATTAAACACGTTGTACAAAATCAGTGTTAACTGATCATAAATAGAGAACAAACTTTTGCAACCAAAAGTTACAACATATATCTACAAATAAAACACACAAAACAAAATACAACTAGCTTTAAGCATTAATCTTTAATTTAACCATTAAGCATACAATGTAATTATGACAAATAATGGAGGATTTACCTGTAGTTACCTTCGTACAGATGAACATGTTCCTGGTTATAACTGTCACTTTGGCCGCTGGCCTTTATCATCTTTTACAATTTCCTAAACATTGTTTAGTTTTTTTTAAATAGAATAAACTGTATCTACCCTCTAAATGCTCAGAGTAACACATCTGAATTATGTCATAATTTCCCATCTATTCATTTTCACCGATTGATTATTTATACCGGCATGTATTGGCTATGTTCATATAACAACAAATGTTGTATGTGCTGTTGTATGTTTTTAATTTCAACAGGACTTCATCCAGTAAAATAAAGGTTAAATAAAATAATATAATACGAAGATCTTAATATCCAGATAATTTATTATTGGAGTTTATGAAGGGTACACAAAATCTGAATTCCTGGACAATTCAGCATTAAACGTTTTTGTTTCAGATCCCATTTGTTAACCAAATTCTAAAATTTGCAATATCCTTTGTAAAAACTTAAAATATCGTTCTATAAAGTTCAAGTTCACGTTGTGTTTATTTATCATATCAAAGGTTAACACAATGTTAACAGTACAATTCATTCAACCTTTATTTCTACAGGTAAATCCCATTGAGCCTCGAGGACTCATTTACAAGAGAGACCTGATTTAACAAAGAAAGATGACAACAATGGACAACAGCAACAACAATAGACAGTTATAAAAAGTCATACAGATATTTTTTTTTTTTACAAATAAGATGGCAAAAAAAGTAACAAAAACAGCTAGATTCTAAAGGGGAATGTAGAAAACTAAAAACAGGAACATGTCTGCATTGGTCCCTGCCAGGAGTCCAACAGATTCTTAAAGCCACTTAGAGAGGTCAAAGGTCGAGAGCTTCAAATCTTTTTGTAAGATATTCCAGGAAACAGGAGCGGAGTAGGAGAAGGTCCTTTTGTCTAGTTCAGTCCTCAATGAGGGAACACTGCAGGTAATGATGTCCTGAGAGCGCACGCTGTAGCTGCACTCACACAGAGACATGTAGGAGGAGATGTATGAAGGCAGCAGACCAGGAAGTGATTTAAAGATGAAAATGTACCAGTGGGAGAGTCTGTGTGAAGTTAATGGTGACCAGTTAACCAGTGAATACTGGGTGCAGTGGTGGGTACGGTAGTTACAGACAGTTATGAATCAGTGCACCATGATAGACAGCATCCAACATCTGCAGCATCCAACATCTGCAGCATCCAACATCTGCAGGGTTCTTGTAGGAGCGTTCATGTAAATAATGTCACCGTGATCAATGGAGGGAAGGAAAGTCACAGATACAAGGTGTTTCCAAACATTCAGAGTTAGACAGGATCTGTTTCTGAAAAACAAACCCAGTTTAACTTTCAGTTTCTTTACCAAGTTTTCCACATGGAGCTTAAAAGAGGGATGCGAGTCGACCAAGATACACAAATATTTATAGGAATCAACAAACTCAATGGGGACACCATTTGAGGATGAAATCAGAGGAAGAACTGCTGGGACCAACTTCCTATTCGAAAAAAGCATCCCTTTGGTTTTGTCGGCATTTAGGACAAGTTTGAGGTGAAACAAATCAGTCTGGATGATGTTGAATGCAGATTTCAAAAGCTGGAAAGCCTTAGCAACTGTTTTAGCTCGACAATAAACAACTGTGTCGTCAGCATAGAAGTGTATGGATGCATTAGGGATGTTTTTACCTACAATATGTATGTAGATTGTAAAGAGGGTGGGTCCTAAGACTGAGCCTTGTGGTACACCATTGTTGACTGTTAAATAACTGGAGGAAGTACCATTATGTTGAACACATTGCCTCCGGTCTGAAAGATAGTTAGAGAACCAACCAATGGTGTGATCTGAGAAACCGATTTCTGAGAGTTTATGACACAAGATGTT